AAAATGGTGGGTGGGGGTGGGGATTGAGAGAGAGAGAGAGAGGCTGGATTGGCTGAAGAGGGGAACCTGAAATATGAGTTTGGAACAAACATCTGACTTAAATATCCCTGCTGGGTCAGCTTACTCTTGCCCCTGCCTCCTGGCTGCACAACTGGTCCTGAGAAGCAGACTCCTGTTCTAACAGAAGGATGACCCATTTTCAAAGAGGCTACCACCCTGAACCATTCCTAGTATACTCTGCACTGGAGCTTTTCTTATTTGGTGTTTTGCTCTATAAGCTTGGTCTTGATGGCCACCATCAGGCTTGCACTGATGGATGTGTCGTGTATTCCAAGGCCCAGGAGGCTCAGAGTGACAGTGAGGCAGGAGGCTGTGTGGGTGCAGAGGAAAGACTCAGGTTGAGGTCAGAAACCTTGGGTTTTGGTCCAGGGTCTTTTGCTAAAGAGCTCTGAATCTTGAATTTATCCTTTACCTCTCTGGGCCTTGGCTTTTTCATCTATAAAATAATGGAGAGGGAATTGTATTAGGTGATCTATGAGGCCAGTCCACTGCCAGTGTAATGTTCTGAGCTAACATTACATCCCTGACATGACAGATGGATGACCTTTCTTGGGCATGAGGGTCCGCCTTCCAAAGATCTGCTCTTTGATTGTCCAGGTGGAAAGATGGGTAGGTAATCAGACAGAGTGGTTGGAGAAGGCTGCTCAGTGCCTGAGTCAGAGGAACTCTGTGGAGGAGCTCTGTGCCGCTCCTTGTTTCTGGATGTGTTAGCTGACTTTCTACCTCTACAACACAAACCTGAGAGAATCTACTTATGAAAAGGTTTATTTTGACTTACGGTTTTGAAAGTTTCAGTTCATGCTTGGTTGTCCATGTTGGTTGTGGACCTGTGATGAAATGGCACATCATGGCAGGAGTGCATGGCAGAGAAAAACCACTCACCTCATGGCCAGGGAGTAAAAGAGAGAAAGAGGGAAGAGACTGGGGTCCTGCAATCCCCTTTGAGGGCACTCCCTGTGGCTTAAAGACTTCCCATTAGGCACCCTCCCAATAAAGCTCAGTGGTAGAGTGCTTTCCCAGCAGGAGCAAGGCCCTGTGTTTGATCTCTAGCACTGTAAAAAACACAAGAGAATTTTAAAGTACAGATATCATGAGATTGTACCACTAAATGGTTCAGATGAAATTCTAAAAAAACAAGAGCATCTTCATCCTTAGTCACATTTTATCATCATAAAATTAATGACTTTCTCTATTTTGGCACCCAATTATTTTGATTTGCTCAAACCAGAATTCAAAGACATATAATATGGTTGTTCCATTTCTTAAGTTCCTTTTGATATGAAACAGACCTTCCCACCACTTTTATTTTTTCATGAATTAAAAGACTGGGTCAGAGTGTGGCTCAGTGGTAGAACATTTGCCTAGCATGCCCAAGACCCTGTGTGCCATTCCACAGTACAAAGCAAAACAAAACAAAGTGGACCAATTGCCCTGCAGAATGTCCCATCTTCTGGATTTGTTTTTTCATGAGGTCACTTAACCTATCCTCCAATTCCTGTGTTTTCTATGAACTGGAAGTGAAAGGATTTGGTAGGTTAAGGCTGAGTAGTTTTTTTTTTTTTTAAAGCAGTACTGGGGTTTGAACTGAGGGCCTTTACACTTGCTAGAAAGGTGCTCTACAACTTGGGTCATACCCTCAGCCATTTTTGGTTTGGTTATTTTTAAGATAGGTTCTTGTATTCATACCTGGCTGGCCTGGACTGCCAGGTATATAGGACTGCCCCCTATATATGCTTCCTGTGTAGCTAGGATTACTGGCATGCACCATGCCCAGCTTTTATTGATTGAGATGGGGTCTCTTGAACATTTTGCCTGGGCTGGCTTTGAACGATGATCCTTCCAATCTCCATCTCCTGATTATCGAGGATTAGCTAGTGCTGGGCCAAGGCTGAGTATTTTGACAGGTGGTATGCTGTGTGCTGTACTGCACTGCACCAGGTCTTGTGTCATTGGGAGGGGTGGTAAATTGATCACAGCATTAGGCTGGTGACCATTCCCACTCGTGACTGTCACAGTGATTCCTTGGTTTCATGTGAATATCCAGGTCCCCATCATCCTTCCACTTAGGTATGTTGGTACCCTTGTCCAAATCAAGTATGTAAGGAGAAAGTGTAACATGACAATATTTCATATTCTACATTAATTAGTGAACATACTACTGTTAAGAAAAAGCTGTCGGTAACAAATATTACTGTTTGGATGGGGACAAATTAGTTTTTCCTCAGGTTTTATTTATTTTTTTAATAACAGTAAGGGCTTGTGGATTTTTAAAAAAAAATATATCCTTTTTCAAATACTGTTATTCCTTTTTGTTTTTTTTTCAGTACTAGGGACCAAAACCAGGTCCTCATTCATGCTAGACAAGGGTTAATCCCACATTATTCTTTTTTGGTGTTTTTTGAGACAGGTTCTTGTTACATAGCCTAGGCTGGTCTTGCACTCTCAATCTTCCTGCATCAGCCTCCTGACTGCTGGGATTACAGGTGGGTGCCACCACTCCCAGTCCCTTATTATTCTTTTTGATGCTAGGTTTTGGCAGTGGGAGTCTCTTCAGGTTGGCTTTGATGTTATCTCTGCCTTTTTTAGCTTCGGTGCCTTCATGGCTCCATCTCTTAACACTGGACAGTGTTCTAGGTTTCTCTTGCTCATTCCTCACCTCAGACCTGGGTGCTTCCATTTCTCCAAGGAACTTTGTTTCCTGTTAGTGAGGAATAGTGTTGAGAGACCTTTTTGTCTTGATTGGTGTTGCTACTTTTGGCTTTTGAGAGCACCTATGAACCTTTCAGTCATTTCTGAGTCTATTCCTTACCTCCAGTTACCCTTGTGACTTAGAGAACTTCTTAGGAGAGATGATGGGGAGGGGAGAAGGAAAAAAGGAGGGAGAAAGACTTTGTGAAGACAAATACTTATTAGTATGAGAGTAAAGAGAAATTTAAAAGATAAAAACACTATATCACCTGTTGGTGGCTTCAGGTACCCATGATTCTTTGTTCTTCCTCCTATGATCTTTGATCTTCCGACGATAGCCAGCACCTTCCATGGAAAGACTCAGTGTTCCAGAAGGGAGGTCAGACTGCAGACCAGGCAGTAGCCAAATAGGGCTAGAGATGGTTGGGGTATGGTGGTGGTGAGGGAGGAGAGACACAGATCAGAAAGCTGAGGGTCAGGGACATAGAGGACACCTCCAATTAGGAGGAAAAGATACAGGATCAAGCTCCTTTCAGGCCTGTTCAGTGGCCCTTTGGTTTTAGAACCTCCCAGGGAAGGCATAGCTGCTTGCTGAATGTGGAATGTGATTTGGGTTGAAAACATGCTGGTTGTTGGGCAATTGCTTTTCTTAGTCCTGAATTGAATCCTAAAATGGAAGTAGAAAATAGATGCTACAATAAAGGAGCAAGGAATGGAGACCTTGGCTCTCTGATTTCTTACATGCACGTTCTGCAGGTTGAGAAAAGAGCTACAAGGTAGTATCATGATGAAAATGACAATGGTAACGACAATGATGACTATAGTAATCATGGCTGACTATTTTCAGATGAGAGAATGTTAAGTAACTCACACACAGCAAGTAATTTGAGAAGGCGAGATTTTGAGTCTCTTGGAGTATGGATAACCTGTGAGTGAAGCCTCTCCCTGGGCACTGGAGAATATGGCTGTGTTGTATTTCATGCAGGACTGTGCTCCATACTGTCTGCCGGGAATGCTTACATTCTTTCCTTCCCCGGGCCAAGGGCCACATATCACTCTTCTCTAGCATAGAGACAGGGGAGAGCAGGGGGATCAGCTTGTAAAATGGAACTGGAGAGCAGTGGGTCCTGACATTTCTGACCCTTTGAGATGTCGCTCAGGAGGACACTTGCTGTGTTCCCTGTGCCCAGAGAGTCTTCCAAGTTCCCAGGAGACCTGAACTTTGGACTCTGATTGTTTCCATGCCCAGGAAGGCTCCAGAGGCTCTGCTCCTGGCTTGAGTTACACAGAGCTGGAAAGTGCCAAATCAGGTCATGGATAAGAATAGAAACCCACAGACCAGGCACATGCTTCCCTGTTGGGCTCTGGCCGTATCACTGGCACTTGGCCACTCTGTGTGGGCTACTGCTTCCCCACAGGCAGGGTACAGGTTGAGGGATGGGTCCATCTTTCTAGGGCAGGTAGGGAGGTTCTTGCATACACACATACCTCCTCCATCGTAAGATGATAGTGTGAAAACCTCTCAGGTGATTGCGGCCTCACATCAGAGTAACACAGAGAAAGGGACACTGATGTTTAGCTTTATTTAACATTTGGCCTGACATAATCAAGAGGTTAGATAATGGTGGCTCTAAAAAGAATTTTCCAGTATCTCAGCATTCAGAAAGAGCTTAATTTACAGCCCCCAACTTTTTATCCTTTCTGACGTCTACATTTGTAATCATAACAGTAAAGATACCCATGATGCCTGGTTCCAAAACATCTTCCTCCCATGAGAGTTCCCATGAGTCTGAAACTGTGTGTGTGTCTGCTCACTAGCGTGTGTGATGTGTCAGAAAGCAGGGTTTAGCTGTTTATGTGAATGCTGCTACTGTGTGTGGGTAGTAAACTTAGTGTTAGTTTCTGCTGTTATCTTTGGTTCTTCTCCTAGACTTCTTCATCAGTACCTGAGTCTTATGGTTGGGAATGAGTCCCTGGTTTTTTCTGTACAGCTGTTTTTTCTTTTTCTAGTATGGAGGATTAAAACTGGAAAGCAATATTTGCAGCAAGTTACAGAACAACTGTGTCTTCTTTACAGCCAAGTCTTGGTCCAGATGCAGCGGTGTCCAGGCCCTTGGAATCCCAGATACCACCTGGTTGTGGGGGAGCATGGCTGGAGGGGTGGATATCCTATAGATTGAGTGCCAGGAAGAGACAGTCCTCAGATGTGGGGCCTCAGTCTCTCTGACCTTAACCTTGCACTGTCCCCACAGAGGGAATGCATATCAGTCCACGTGGGTCAAGCTGGAGTTCAGATTGGCAATGCCTGCTGGGAGCTCTTCTGCCTAGAACATGGCATCCAGGCAGATGGCACCTTTGGTGCTCAGGCCAGCAAGATCAACGACGATGACTCCTTTACCACCTTTTTCAGCGAGACTGGCAATGGGAAGCATGTGCCTCGTGCTGTCATGGTTGACCTGGAGCCTACTGTAGTGGGTGAGTGTGGGCTGAGATCCTCTCTACAGAAAACACCATGAAAATGCTGGTGTTTTTGCCAGAGGCTTTGTTCCATGAAAGCTAAGGAACTGAAAGGTGTGGATGGCTCAACTAGAGCTACCACTCCATATGCCTTCTGTTAGCTCCTTGGGGTCCCCACAATTTTGGAAAGTCTTATAATAGGGATCAAGGATCTCTAATAATCTATGTAGAGTAAAATACTTTTTAAACCTGCTGAGACAGACAGATTGTTACTAAATGCTAGGAATTAAAAAACCCAAATAATTTTAGAAATTATAAGATGCCCCAAACACAGTTTTCTAAAATATAGGTTTTGATTCCATAATAATTACAGTCTGTCCTCGCCAGTGTGGCTTAACCTTGTAGTACGTCATGCATAGAATGATGTGACAACAGGCATACTCACAGCCAAGGGTTGCTGTAGTTCTAGAACTCACTTCATTTGGATCTAGGAAAACACAGATGAATTTTGACTTCTTCCAGGGTAGGTTTCCTGATGTTAAACCCTTTTCTTCCCAATCCTCCCCCGGTCCCAGTAGTGTCACTTCCCTGGATCTGACCTATGGTCAATCCTCAATTAAACATCAGGCTTTTCTCAGCTTCAAGACTGGCTCATCAAACAAGGGATGCATAAGCTCTACAGAGATGTCTGAGCAAATGCCTACAATGCCTGGACCCTGATTTCTAGGGATAACAGACTACAGGTACTCCACCCTTTGCACGCTTTGTACAAATGCAAGAAGAATGGGCTATCCTCCCAGGCCACTGCACACATAGCCAATTTCTATGCAGGGGTAGAGGAATCCTTAAGAAATGATGTAGCTGGGGCCTGATGTATCTTGGTTTGCCCTGTGGCCACTCTGTGGATTCTGAGAGGTGAGCTAAGACCCCTTGAAAGTCTTTCTAGGGCTCCTGATCCTCTAGAATTTGGAGCATACCTTTGCTTAAAAGTCATTGTAAGGGCTAGGAGTGCAGCTCAATTGGTAGAGTGCTTGCCCAGCAAGTGTGAGTCCCTGAGTTCAAAACCCTAGTACTGCAACGACAACAAAAAAGTCATTCTAAAATATGTCTAGGAGAACTAAAATGATAATTATGAGACATATACTAATTCAAAGTCATCATAAAACTATTAAAAAGACATTCATATGCACACTTTCACAAATACATATTCCTTGATTCAAGTTAAAAATATTTCAACCTTTTAAATGTACTGAGACTTACTTTTTGGCTCTGTATTTAGTTTATCTGGGTGGGCATACCATGAACACCTGAAATGAATATGTATTTTGCAGTTGTTGAGTATGGTGTTCTATAAGTTTTAAATGGACTTTTCCCCATGTATTCCTTTTGTTTTGTTGTTAAGACTACTATATTACCCTACTCTTGTCTTTCTCTGAGAGTTAATATTTTTTAGTATTCTGTATCTTTTATTGATATCTTTTAATTTTTGTGTTTCTAGATGGCAAATAATTTGCATTCTTAATGGTTCAAAATCCATTTAGAGTTGAAAGATGTAATGACCTTCAAAATATAATTCTGTTTATACACCTCATTTTTGTGCTCTAGTTATATCTAGTTATAAACCATAGTTTATAATGTTGTAAATTTTGCCTTATGGGGTTATTTGTCTTTTATGGAAATTACAAGAATTAAAACAATCATAGTCTTTTGTATTTAGAAAAGAAATGTCTAGGGTTGGAGGTGCAGCTTAGCAGGAGAGCTTGGGCAAATCACTGTGAATCTTTCTCCATATCCCTAGAACATTGAATTCAAATGAAATTGGGTTAAATTATTAGTGTCAAGGATAAAGTTGCAGCCTGAAACAAGAAACAACAGGGAAGACTTTGAGAGGTCAAGGTGGAGGGAAGGAGAGGAAGTCAACTTCGAAGTTTGCTGAGCTTTGTTCACCTGAGGCTTCTCACCACCTGCTCTACCCCAGGCTCTGATTTAGAGCCTGTGTTATTTAGGAGCTCTCTTTACCTTTTGCAAACTTATTCTAGGGTTGCCTGTTTTCATCTCAGGGGAGAATCATAGTCAGCAGCAAGCAGAAGCATGTTATGTAGTTGTCTGAGGAGGAAGGAGGCTTCCTGGAAACCAGGTAGTAAAATTTAATGGGACTGGGGCATGGCTCAAGTGGTAGAGTGCTTGCTTAGTAGGCCCAAGGTCCTGAGTTCAAACCCCAGTGCCTCAAAAAAAGTGCCACACTTTGGGATATCAATTTCTGAATGGAATTATCACAATGAAATCCCCTTGTATTATTAATGTGTGATAATTTAAAATAGACCTAATGGTCTCCTCGCTTGGTAGATGAGGTCCGGGCAGGAACCTACCGCCAGCTCTTCCATCCAGAGCAGCTGATCACAGGAAAGGAGGATGCAGCTAACAATTATGCCCGGGGTCACTACACAGTGGGCAAGGAGAGCATCGATCTTGTGCTGGACCGCATACGGAAGCTGGTAAGTATTAGCAAGAGGGGGCATTGGTGGTGGTTGTATGTGTCATGGGGCTGTACACCAAACCCAGGCCTTCATTCATACTAAGCACATGCTGCACCACTGAGCTACCCCCTAGCCGTCTGATTATGTTTTGTAAGGTGCATTTTCAGGGATGAGACCCCTTCCCTCATAGGGCATCTACCTGACAGGCAGATGCCCTATTAATAATTTGATATTTTATAGTCATATCTGGGGAAGATTCCAATTGAAAGGAAGACTGAAGGTCTTTGCTTGTTGGAAACATAAGTTAACAAAGCATTAGCTTGGAGGAAGGGAGGAAGAGATTGTTAATACATTTGAGCAGTTACAAATGCAATTACTGTTAGAATGAAAGAGGTAGAAAGACAGCTCAAACACTAGCACAGGGTTTATTGGGTTCAAACACCAGCACAGGATTTATTGGACGGGGTCCCCAGTGAGAGAGCTGGAGCACCCAGCCACTTATAGACTTGGAGTAGATATAGGGGAGCAGTCTGGAGGAGAAACCCCGCTGGGTGGGAAAATTCTTCCAGAGTGGAGTCAACCATGTAGGGGAAGCTAGAGGAGATAAGTGGTTATTAGGTAGATAAGTTGCTCAGCTCTGGACCCCCTGGGGAGGTGGCGGCATGTCATTTCCTTGAGGCTTAAATGTGGTCCTTTCAGTGGGTGGTGGGGTGTCAGTAAGTTGCCTGCAGGGGTGGCTTCTTTTTGTTCACCCTAACAATAACAACTTTTACTACATTCCTTCATTTAATCCTTAATAATCATACAAAGGAAGTCTGTTCATTGTACTTTACAGATAAAAGCACTGAGGGCCAGGGTGGCTCAGTATCTTAGCTTGGTTCACGGAGTTAGGATTTGAACCAGGTTGGTTTGACTACAAAGCTCTGAATTGTGGGTGAAATCACTTTGCTTAAATTTCCATTTCCCAATCCATATGATGGAAAAGGTTGGACATGATCAGTTTTTTTTTTTTAACCTGGGTCTAAGGTTGCAAAGTTTTATATATATCTACTTTCTTTGTTTAGATGTAGATTCATGTGTGTCATTAGTCTCAAAGCTGTCTGTGTGCCCAAAATGCAAAACTACTGGATTGAATGATAACAGATTACACACACCGGGAAAATTCTGCAATTCTATGAATTCTCTTCGTTCTGATAGGAGCCAGCATTGAGTGCTTGCTACACATTAGATCCTTGCTCAGGACATTATGCAATCTCATTTAGTTATCACAGTAACTTTACAAGGTGAGAGTTTTTATCATCCTCACTTTAACCAGGAGGGAGCAAAAGTCTGGAGAGGTTAATAACCTGCTTAAATGTTTACAACCGTGGAACTCACTGGTGGACTTGTTGACTTTATTCAGTCATTCCACAACGTATGCAAACATCACTTTGTACCCTATAAATATACACATCTACAATTTGTCAACATAGGGTAAAAATAAACCTCCTGAGGTTCCTGATTTAGCTTTTTGAAACTGGTATCCTGAGCTACCCACTAAGGTTGGGTAGCAACACGGAGGTCAGCAGTTCCCATAGAATCATATGACAAGGACAGGGGTAGTGGACAAGGTTGGGGCTCTCAAAGGGCAAAATCACTAACCACTGTGGCTCCGAAACTTTCTTGTCATTCCATACTTTAGCCATTCCTTCCAAGATCAAGACAAATTCTTTTGTGTTTCCTTAATCCTTCAAGGCTGGGGTAGGTCAGGCAGAGTGTATTGCCTGGCTTTGTCCTCTTGGAGGGATTCTTAGAAACTTGTCTTCATGATGGCTTCTCATTTTCTGCTCTTCCCAGACAGATGCTTGCTCTGGCTTGCAGGGCTTCCTGATCTTCCACAGTTTCGGTGGAGGCACTGGCTCTGGCTTCACTTCTCTGCTGATGGAACGACTCTCCCTGGATTATGGCAAGAAGTCCAAACTGGAGTTTGCTATCTATCCAGCACCCCAGGTCTCCACTGCAGTGGTTGAGCCCTACAACTCCATCCTGACTACACATACCACCCTGGAACACTCAGATTGTGCTTTCATGGTGGATAATGAAGCCATATATGACATCTGTCGCAGAAACCTAGACATTGAGCGCCCCACCTACACTAACCTCAATCGCCTCATTAGTCAGATTGTGTCCTCAATCACTGCCTCTCTCCGCTTTGATGGGGCGCTCAATGTGGACCTCACTGAATTCCAGACCAACCTCGTGCCCTACCCCCGCATCCACTTCCCACTGGTCACTTATGCACCCATCATCTCTGCCGAGAAAGCCTACCATGAACAGCTCTCTGTGGCTGAGATAACCAGCTCCTGCTTTGAACCCAACAGCCAGATGGTGAAGTGTGATCCAAGACATGGCAAGTATATGGCCTGCTGCATGCTCTACCGGGGAGATGTGGTGCCCAAGGATGTGAATGTCGCTATTGCTGCCATCAAGACCAAGAGGACCATCCAGTTTGTCGACTGGTGTCCCACAGGCTTCAAGGTGAGAGCTGATGACTCAGGGAGGGATAGATAACTGGAGGAGCAGAGGAGATTATCAAGGATGGGGAGAATGAAATCTTTGGAGTCTTGGGTTTTATATGGTGATATGGGAGAGAGGGACTTAAACCAAATGTAACATTAACTTCATTCAGCTTTGGTTGAGATATAAATGTTGTTGAAGTTTTGTCTGCTTAAACCATTTTAGAAAACTTATGAGTTTGGTGATATATCTATATGTCTATCTATATCTATATCTATATGTGTATCTGTATCTGTATCTATATCTATATCTATACCTATATCTATATATTTTTGTGGTACCAGGGGTTGAACTCAGTGCCTTATGCTTGCTAGGTAGGCACTCTACCACTTGAACCACTCCCCCAGCCCAAGTTTGGTGCTATTTTAAATAGGTTAGTCAACTTTGACTTTTTTTTTTTTACTAGAGGGGTCTGAATCACAATTATTTGGGGTTCATGATTTGGTTCAATTTGCCTAAAGTTAGTTTTAATGGATATTTTACACTTCCTAGTACATTTTTTACCATAAATTTTTTATTAGGATATATTCATTATACAGAGGGGATTCGTAGTTACAATTCTGATTAGGCTTATATTATATATTGGTAAGATCACCCCTAGTGTCTCTCCCCCTCAACTCCCTCCCTGTCCCACTTAAAATAATTGCAAGAGGTTTCTTTGTTTTATTTCATATAAATATAGGAAGTCTATCAACCATATACCTCACTTTAATCTCTTTCATTCACCCTCTCCCCTTCCATTAATACTCCCCCACACTGTACCTATTTTATAGTACTGTCTTTTCATTATTAATACTTAAGTTGATATTCAAAGGGATTTCTTAGTGTATCCTTGCTGTGGGTATACTTTACTTTGGTTCAACCCCTTCCATTACTCTCCCTTACCCCTTTACCTCCTATCCCTCATTTTTCAACAGCTTTCAGTACACATTCTTCTATCCTCTACCTTCACAGCCCAGTACATTTGAATTTTAGAGTTAACCAATATTCAAGATTTTAGAAAGTTATAATTCTGTCTTAACAGATGTGTTCATCCAATTTAGGAAAATTAAATATCTACCCTGTAAGTCTTAATCAATTTGGAGTGATGATAAGAGAACTTTATGGTTAATTATGTGATCGTGAGTCACTTATGTCATGCAGTCCTGACATTTCCCACTCGCATTGACAATACTGCTCTTGCTGAGTGAGGGAGTAGCATTCCTGCTCATTGTCCTACTCCTAGTAACATGTATCATCATCTCACTAGACTATGCCTATTTTTTATTTTTTTCATTTTAAACATATATTCATTGTATAGGAGGGATTTGTTGTGATAATTCTGAATAGTCTTACATTGTACACTGGTTAGATTGCACCTCTGTCTCCCCCACCCTGCCACTCTCTCCCTGTCCCACTTAAAAGCAATTATAAGAGGTTTCATTCTTCTCTTTCCCATATGCATATGAAGCCCATCAGTCATATTCCTTCATCTTCATCTCTTCCTTTCACTCTCCCCATCCCACAAGTACCCGCCCCAACTATACCTATTTTATAGTCCTGTCTTTCATTATTTATTTCAAAGTCAGTGTTCAAAGAGGTTTTTCAATGTATCCCCTAGCTGTGCATATGCTTTACTTTGAGCAGTTCAAGTCCCTCTGTTATTCTCCCTTACACTTCCCTCCTGCCTCCCATTATTTGACAGCTTTCAGTACATATCATTATGCCTTCTGCCTGCACAGATATGAAGTATTTCTTTCTTTTTTTTACTTTAAAAAAATTTTTATTTTATTGTTTTTATGTTTACCCACATATATGTACATTGTTTGGGTCACCTCCCCCCCACCAAAATATTTCAATATTGTACACGATCATTCTCTTTCCCGCCTCCTCTGAGTTCCATAGTGTATTTCCACTATGCCATATTCTACCTATAGATGTATATATGATTATGTTTGTTTTCGTATATACATTTATATTTTGGATCTATCTTCCACATTGACAGAAAACATGTGGTCTTTGTCTTTTGAACTTGGCTTACTTCACTTAACATTATGTCACTAATTCATCCATTTACCTTTAAACCACATAGTTTAATTCTTTCTTATATTATAATGGAGTTTCTTAATCCATTCATCAGTTGTAGGGCATCTGGCTTGTTTCCATAGCTTAACTATGCCTGTTTTAATGTGGCTGTTCTGGACAATATTGCAGAAGCAGTTTATGTCTTCTAAAAAGTGAAGTTGTTTTTACATTATCAGCTGGAAAAAACAATGACACAAGCTAGAATAAGAATAAATGGGGAAAAAAGAATAAAATGAGAGATGTGGGAGCATGGGGAAACCAACAAAAAGGAGATTAACCTGCCCCCTTTTATTTTAAAATGGTGTTCTGAGATTACATCCAGAAAGACAAATAGCTGCTTTTCAGAAAAGCACATGCCAGCAGAGTGAATGTTGCTAAACTTCACCCTCTGACATTCTCCCCAAGGGTGCTTGTCCCTACTTAACTCAGGTCAAGGGACATTACTGTTCAGAAGACAGAAGACTTGCTCCAGATGCATGGTTTATGCTGGCCAAGCACCTACCAAGATACATGATGTGGCAAAGTTCATATTCAGTGCCTCTCCCTGTCTCATTTTTGGCCCTGTGTTCTGATCTAAGTTTTCCCTCCACCACCAAGATGAACGTGTGTGTAAAAGGAATGGCAAAGCATGGTGAACTTGTGGGCCACTGGCTTTGCCCTACAGCCTACTGCCCCCCTTCCCCACTCCACACCACGAAAACACATTTTAAAGCAATGAAATTGAGAGGTTGGCAATTTAAGCATGGTGGCTTGGGTGGAGGTGTTAGTTTTGGGCAGCACCAGGGTTCTCAGTGTCTCATAGATAATATGTGATGTTTGTCACCTTTGTCTTCTAATTTCTTACAGTTCTTGGAACTGGCTTTGGTTTGGGATACATACATTTGTGGGGAGGAGAAGAGAGATTTATAGGATAGTAGCCCCGGACATTCTACCAGAACTCAGGAAGTTGGCTTTTCAGGAAAGACCTTTACCCATCTTCTTTGAGTGGAGCTTGTGTTTCCCACACTGCCACCCAAGAAACCAGGTTACCTTGTTAACATTAACACCATCACTAAAGACATTCTGATCTTTTTCATCTGTTGTTCTGGAATATCCCTACGACATTTTCAGCAGCCTCTTACCCTTGGCAGAAAAATTTCTGTACATCAACATAACTAAGAGAAACTTCAGATTAGTACCTGGAAAGAATAAACCTTATAATAGCTTCAATTCTAGAAATTGATTTGCCCCTAAAAAGGATGGCATGTCCCTTTTTAGAGGTACACATGCGCTGGATACCTCCCATGCCATAATAGCACTCATTACTTCCGTTTGTCTACTTGCTACTTTCCACTAAGATTTCCTCCTATCACTTGTTCTTCTTTTTCTCTACAACCTTTAGATTCTCCAGCCCTTGTCCTTGAATTTACCTGTACCCAACACCATTTGCTTTTATTTTGTCTTCAGCATCCTCTCTACCTGCCCACTTCCCCAACCTCCTCATTCCTTCTTCTCTTACTCCACCTTGAAGTCCCATCTCACACCCATGACCAGGTCTTCTTACCGTATCTTATTACCAAGACATGCTGTCTTGAATTATTCTTTGGCTGACTTGCATATTCTTCTGTTGCCCTTCTTCTTTCTTTGTTCCACAGGTGGGCATCAACTACCAACCACCCACTGTGGTGCCAGGTGGGGACTTGGCCAAAGTCCAGCGGGCTGTTTGCATGCTGAGCAACACTACAGCCATTGCGGAGGCCTGGGCCCGCCTTGACCATAAGTTTGACCTAATGTATGCCAAGCGGGCCTTTGTGCATTGGTATGTTGGAGAAGGAATGGAAGAAGGAGAATTTTCTGAGGCCAGGGAGGACCTGGCTGCCCTGGAGAAGGATTATGAAGAAGTGGGGACTGACTCATTTGAAGAAGAAAATGAAGGGGAGGAATTTTAAATATACACTTGCCCCTTGGCTGTGTCTCTTTATTTATGCTGCTCCATTCAAAGTGTATTGAACTAGTGAAGAGTGATAGTCTGATTTCCCAACCCCAGCCCAACTCCTGTTGTACATAGAAGGAGGGTCCCTGACTCTAGTACCCAGGAGATATGACTGCCCAGATGGACACTGTGCTCTCAGACTTCCATGGAATGAGAGTAGCTTCCTCACTAAAGAAAATCAGAGTTACTGTCTGTCGGTGAGGGTGAAGTCGAGTTACACATGTGAGAAGTCATAATCAGGAGTTTAATTACAGATTAGGCTGGGTATATCCTAAGACATGGCCTTCTGGCTGAGGAATAGCAAAATACCAGGGAAAGGAAAAGTCTAGGTATTGGGAGGATTCTGGGGAGAGAGTGGAAAGAAGCTCACATTAATGGATCTATAGAATAGCCCAGGCCGCATCAGGACTGATCACAGATCTAGTCACTCATTCATCAAATATTTGAGTAGTTATATACTCTTCCTCCCAAGGAGCACAGTAAGACCCTTTCTGAATGCCTGAAACCATGGAGAGTAGTACACCTTATAGATACTAGGTTTTTTCCTATTCATACATACCCATGGTAAAGTTTAATGTATAATGATCACAGTAAGAGATTAACAACAATACTACTAATGAAACAACAACTATAACAACATACTGTAATAAAAGTTATGTGAAGGACTGGGGATGTAGCTCAGTGGTAAAATGTGTGCTTAGAATGTGTGAAGCCCTGGGTTTGTTCCCCAGCATTGCACATATCCATAGGGTTAGGAATGTGACACCTCCCTCTCTCAATATCTTAGCACACTATGCTTTACTCTTCTTTCTATGGGAAACTGAAGCTGGAGAAAGTGAAAGTATGGAGGAGGGGATGTTACTGTAAATCCATGTCTAGGCACTGTCCTAAGAGCTAGATAGTGACACATATGACAGACACATTTCCTTTCTTCCTAAAAACATAAATAAATGAGCGAATTTGCTTCAGATGGTATTAAGTGATGTGAAGTAAAGCAGTAATGAAAGTGTCTGGGGTGCCCCTGTGGACTGATGGTCAGAGAAGACATCAAGGAGGCATGGATGACATGAGGAATCAGATGATTCTGGGAACTGGGAAAAACAATGCCAAAACCAAGATGGGGGAATACACACGGGTTCTGAACAGAAAGAGGTCAGTGTTCTTGGAGAATGGTGGGAAACCAAGCAGGTTACATGGTGGGGCGCTTAGATTTTTTTCCTAAGTGATACACAAGCATTTGGAAGGTTTTAAACAGGACAGCTATTATTCCTTATCTTTATGTACATGCATCTTATCCAATCGTCCCAATAATCTCAAGGTGGATATTCTGCTCGTTTCTTAAATGGAGATACAGAGAATTGATATTCTGAAGGCAGTAAGAGTGGAGCTCAGAGCAGGGCTCTTATCTACCCTGTTTCTGTCCCTTGGTGAGCTTCAAGAATCCAAATACTCCATAAAATGGGAGAAACAGGTTTGCTATTTGCAAAGGAGAGGGTGAGTAGGTGCACCTCTTCCCTGAAGTAGTCACGTCAGGCAGAATAGCAGGAACAATGAAAAAGCTGCTTTTGTTAAGCTGCCAGTGAGAACCCCGGGTTGGGCCCATCGTGGATCCCTATGCATTAAACACATACCTCTTTACGTACCAATTTTCTCTATTCCCTCAAGCCCAGAGAGAAATAGAATGTAGTTTTCCAAGTAATGGAAGATGAGACAAGAAGTAATGCTAATCTCTTCTAGAGCATTACTTTCAGAGAGCGCATATTCTCTTGCTCTTTTATGCAGGAGATCATGGCACCAAAGGAGCAGGTCCACATCTGTTGTCTATTAGGATTTCTCTTGCCAGATGTCTTCGCCAAACTCCACAGGTGCTTGCACAGTTATCTGTTGAAGAGAATTAGGGTCAGGAGCTGTCATCCCCACCTCAGGAAAGGGCATGTTCTTTCTTGATAGAGGTGAGAGGTCTATCATGGATTCAGACCTGATTCAAAGGGCTTCTTGAATGTACGAGTATGACCTGATTAGGGAGCATATAACACACCTCCCAGGCAGGGTTTAGGGCAGGTGTGGATCACATCTGATTTTCTTTCCTCTACATTCATGTGAATTAGGTTAAAATAAAAACGAATGGCAAAGTCACAAAAGTGACATCTCAGAGATAGGGATAAAGGGAGATGGGGATTCAGGAAAGTTTGGGGAATAATATATGAGGATCTTGGATAAGTTTCCATTCCCTGTTATTATTCCTCTTTCGTTTTTCCCTCATTTGGTTGAGTCTTGTCCAGCTCTGTCTAGCCCTGCTTCCTTTCAGGAAGGAGTGTTGAACTTTAGATCTGGAGATAAGGGTACCTTGCAAGAGGGTGGATGGGGAAATAGGTTACTCTGTCATTTTCCAAGATAGGCAGCTTTGTCAATATTTTTAGTATTGGATTGGTTTGAGGCTTCTTTAGATGGTGAAACACACTTGGCAAACACTACATAAACACTGGTGTTAGGAAAGAGAATTGTGCAACAGCTTTTTTTAGTTCAGATTGTTCAGGTCACTGGGATAACCAACTAGGTAATCCAGTTTGTTGAATCCCAATGCCAGCTCTCTTAGGGATGCTCAAGTCATATTACTTACCAAAAAAAAATTACTTTTACTTTTTTTTGGCAGTACTCAGGTTTGAACTCAGGGACTCTCTTGGTAGTCACTTGCTTGGCAAATATTCTACTATTTGAGCTGCACCTCCAGTCTTTTTTACTTTTAGTTTGCTTTTCCGACAGAATCTCACACTTCTGTTTGGGCTGGTTTTGGACCACAATTCTCCTACCTTCATCTCCTGAGTGGTTGGAATTACAGGCATCCACCACCATGCCCAGCCCTATTTTTACTTTTTAAAAATTTTATCCCAGGAGTTAGAGGAATCCTTAATTAACATAATAGCCACTATAGGCCATTTTCCACCCTAATTTATCAAATGTATTTCTAGAATTTTCTCTAGGTTGGAAGTATGAATATCCATGTTTCCCATATATCAAAGGTGATCAGTTGGCAGTCCTGAATTTTCAACAAGAAGAACACACTTCCAAACTTTAGCTTCAAACAGCTTAGGTTCCAAAATTAACCTACTGAGGAAGAATAAAGCATGCTTATTTTCTCTGATTTTTCTGTTCATATCACCAGTCTCACTATTCTGATTTAACACCAGTGATATTGACTTTCCTACTACAGTGTTGGCAAATCTACTAATGGAATTAAAATCTTCCTCTCTCTCTCTCTCTCTCTCTCTCTCTGTGTGTGTGTGTGTGTGTGTGTGTGTGTGTGTTGTAAGAACAAACCTTCCACATTAACAAATTCTGGTTAAGATGGCAGAATAAGGGCACCACCTCTGGCAGCTCCAGGAAAGTTACCAAGAGCAGGAGGAGATTGCTGATTCTTTCAGGTGGGAAAGTGGATACACACTGTGGTCTCAGATGTGAACAGACAGATCTTAACAAAAACCTCATGGGTGTTGGTGAGCAGAATGGGGGCAAAAGAAAGAATCTTTCAGCAAAAGATCTGAGCAGAAGTGGTGTGGCAGAGAGGCAGAGACCATACAAAGATAGTACATCTTGGAAAATATACCAATCTATTCAGATAGGGGTCCAGGAATGAATATAGCATATAAATACAGGGAAATTCTCTCTCCTTGGTATTGGGTCATGCATAGTCATTCCATTCTGTGCACTGGCTAGAAACAATTGTGTAAACACAGAGACCTGGCTGTCTGGCACCATTAGAGGTTAGAAGTCCTTACAGTGTCTGGTGTATGTTTCCTATGAAAATAAGGATTGAATACATTCTCACTGGGAGAGGGGGAACATCTGAATCAGAATGTGGAAAGCTCCATAGGAAAGCTGTTGAGAGTCACTGAGAGGAAGGTGCTTTCCAGCTGGGCAGAGCTCTGGGGGGAGGTGGGGGATGGACTGGAGAACAGAGCCTGTGGACTGGAGCAGTGGTGGAGCTCTATAGGGCTTCCCCATCCCAGGACCAGATAATTGAAAGGTCCAGCTGGTGCACAGTTTATAAACAGCCCCATCCAGTCCTCTCACCTCATAACTTACCCTCTGATTGCTAGGGAACAACACAAATTAAAACAGGAAGCCAGCCAATACACAATTGGTAGCTCACTGCCAGTTTAGCCATAGAAAGATTTGTCAGCATTGATAAGAAACATCAATAGAAACCTATTCTGCTTTTTAAAATTAAAATAATTTTTACTTTTTGATTTAATTTTTGTTATTTCTTTTGATTTTTCTCCTTTTTGTTTGTTCACTTTTCAATACAGATTTTTAAACCATATCAGTTTAAATATTCATATATAAATTTTTATTCTATTTTACACAATTATTTGTCTTTGCTTTTATACTTCCATTACATTATTCTCAATCTAACCATTTAATATTGAATCTGTTTGAACTCTTTATCCCAATTAGAGTTGGTTTTTCCTTTTGATCTATCTTCAAAATGGGCTCTTCCCACAGATTGGCCTGAGACTTGTAGTCTACCTGGTCAGATCCGAGTGCAGAGATTACACACATGAGCTATAGCACATGTATTTTAGTATTCAAGCCTCTCTTCTTCCTCCTTCTACTACTTCCCTCTCCCAGTTTTATTTTCTTCCTGTCCTCAATTAGTTCAGATCTCTTTTCTCTCTCTCTCTCTCTTTCTGTCTCTTTTCTTTTCTTTTCTCTATCCCCCCTTCTAAAATTCTTCTTTATTATCACTGTTTTTGGGAGGCTGTTTGTTTGCTAGATTTTATTATTATTTTTTTACTTCTTATTCTCACTGCACTTTTGGTTGGATCTTTTCTATCTCCTCTTCCTTACCATTCCTCCTTTTATTTACTTTAGTCTCCTCTCCTTTCATCTTTTTCTCATGGTATATCTTGTACTGTTCACTAGTGTTATCTCTCCTATATTCTTTCCTTCCTTACCCTTATTAGTTACCATCTTCTTAATGTACATTTTATCTTTGCTCCTTTATTCCTCTAAAGGTACTGTGGTTGTGGTGTTGGTTGTTCTTAATTAGTGATTACTGCATTTTCATAGTGGGTGTGTCTATCTATCAACTGTGTTTGTGTCGGCGGCTAGTATTCATCTTTTGAAGTTGGACTCAGTTCTTGAGCACAGTGGGTGAATGTTTGACTACTGAGACATACCCTCGGTCTAGTGGTGAGAAACTGTACCACAATCTGGCCACTACCCAGTGCTGCCTGAATGTTGAGAATGTTTCAACTGAAAGAACATAGGAGATTAAAACCTCCAACCATATATTTGGCTCCAGAGGCATAAATTCCAATGCAAAACACAAAAAACAAGAAGGAAAAAAACCCAAAGCAATATGACTTCTCCAAAAGTCAACCATTTCATAACAATGGCATCTAATGGTAGTGAAATGGGTAAAATCTCACATAATTCAAAATAATGGTAAGGGTGATCAATGAAACCAAATATGACATGAGTAAACACCTAAATGAATTAAAAGAGAGTACAGATAAATGGCTGAATGAAATAAGAATACAATGCGGACATGAAAGAGGATTTTGATAAGGAGAAACTGAAAATTTTCAAGAGCCTTGTGAGCTCCTGTTCTATGGATCTAACTGGGGCAACTGGAGATGCAGAAAGGACAAAGGATAGACAGACATGCAGAAAATTGGGGTTAGGTGTGCTGGGCGCTTGGATGAAGACACACAACAACCTTGTTGCTTCTTTTCTCTATTAACTCTTCTTTTACTTTGCTTCTTTTCTCTATTCTTTAAAACCTTACTTCTTTTCTCCCTTCTTTAAAACCTTACTTCTTTTCTATTTTTTAAAGGTCTCTTTCCTTAGAATCGCACTGTCGCATGTCTCCTCTAATCTCTAGCATAACTTCTGAAGTCTCAGTCCTTACACTTACAGACATACAACAGCAGCTGTGTCTAAAAACTGCATTAGTTTAACTCTTAAAGTCTTGGTCCTCAGACTTGCACTGATCCATGTTTTCTTTAGCTTTTCTTCAGCATAGCTTTTTTAAAGCCTATGTATAAAGTTTTTGGTACAGAAAGCTGCTCTGGTAGAGACACACGACAGCCAGCAGCAGCAGCATCAGTGGCAGCCACACAAGCAGCCCACAGCCAGCCAACCAATCAACCAAATCTTCAACCAATCCAATCCCCTGCATCCTCCTTCAGTGAGTCTTTTATATCCAGTGGTAAACAAGGAGGTGGAGCAGCACTTCCTGGGAGGGGCATGACATTGTAACAGGAGAAACCTGCTTTCTCTCTGAATGTAAACACCTTAGGAAAAGCAGCTGTGCTGCATTTTGCCCTGGCACTCTTCTGCGGCTGGGGCCTGCCAAACTCAGCCTGCTGATTATTTGACACAGCTGTGCTTATGTCAAGTTCTCCTAGGCTTCTCATAATTCACTCCCCACAGAAAATAATCAAGTTAAAATTTTGAAAATGAAAAGCTCAATAAAAACTCAGTTAAAAGCCCCAGTGAATAGACCAGATCAAATAGAAGACTGAATATCAGGACTTGAAACCAAAGTAGATGAATTGGAGCATTCAGAATATAATAAAGATAAAAAACTAAAGTATGAACAGCACATGCCAATGCCACTGGGTAACTTCTGAGACACCACTAAAAACTAAAACCATGAAACACGGGCATAGAAGAAATAAAAA